AAAATTTGTTACAGAAATACATATTGTGTTTCCAATGAGATTCCTCTAAATCTTGGAGTATTCATCCTGTGTAGTGTGCACATATTGTTCATATTTTGTTTCTTTTGGAAATATCTTTTTTAAATTTTGCGATGAATTATATATTTATAATATATTAGAATATCATAATGTGCTTTCTTGTTTGAAATGACTGTAGTGAATTGAATTCAATGTCCATAATACACTATCTTACGTTTGCCATAAATAATGAGTTCTTGTTCACTTTCAGTCAAATACATTGGTTTCTTATTCTTAGAATAGTCTTACTATATTATCATCTTAAATCTTTAATATGCTGTGAAAAACTGTTTTGCATAAAAAATTGTTGATGTACATATTTTTTTTTTTTTAAATGCTACACCATTAAAGACATTTTTGCACGTGGTCCTTTTTAGCAAAATCCAGAAACAACACAAGGATAACAACAGTAAAGCACTGTTTAAAAGGGATCTCAATAATTGTCCAGTGTCCATTATGCACTACAAAAACCAAGACAACGAGGTCCACTCTAATTTTTTTTTATCAACTGATCACTTGCTGCAACATCATGCTGACAGTCAATCAGTTACAGAGTTCTTCGCTTTTCAGTATGTCACATTCACATTAGACAAACACCGAAATGAATTGGTTGATTTCTTTTACTACAAAACATGGCGTCATCCCAGTCTGCAATGACTTTGGCATTTGGTTCAAGTTACGCAACATAATTGTACTCATTTGCATTATCTTTGTCTCGCTCCATATAATCCCTATCTATAAGAGATTCAATTCGTTTTTTCAAGTCAGCCGGCTGAAAAAAATATATTTACGTTGTTATATAATTACACAGATATTACATACTACTTAATATATATATTTAATTCGAGCTATGTATAATGTTAATTACATACCTTCACAGGGAACTTTAATTGATTATACAGTTCACTAATTAATAAATTGTGTGTAAGCGTTTTCCTCATTTTCATAATTCTAACAATAGCTGCATCTATTTGATATTGTCTATCTTGGTAAACTCGTTCTTCTGTAGCTTTCTGTTCTTCGTTCTAAAAAATAAACAATAGATTAGTTAATATTAAGTGCTCCAATAAAATATAAAACTACAATTTGTAAGAGGATATTTGTACCGTTTCTTTCATTTGGATTTGATTAATTTTAATTCTGAATAATTTGTTCGTGAAATCTGCATTGAAGACAAATCTATCATTATCTGCAATATCTCTTCCTCTTGGATTCTTTTTTAATACTCTAGCTTTTCCGCAAGCTAAAGATTGCAAAGTTCTTCTAAGTTCACCATCTTCTATATTTGTTGCTGCCTTTATATCTTCCAGGGATAAGTTATCAGAATCATTAAACATAATTAATACCAACGCTTGAAACAATGATACTTGAAACTCTTTGTTACCCTATTACAACATTGAAATGAAAAAATATTCAGTATTTTTAATACATACAATTCAGATATTACAAATAATACTTATTGAATATTAAAAATACCTGATTAAACCACGCTTTTAGAACACAATGACCTAGAGTAGGTTGCCATTGTAATTTTCTGCCACTGTGCTTTCCCAAGTAAAATTTGTTAAATACATCTTGATATTGAACCATTTCTGGTGGTAATGTTACTTCCATCACAGGGTATGTTGGCCAATAACCCATTGTAAGTATTGACACAGTTAAATCCAAGTTATTTGCTGACAACTCATTTTGTAAATTTCCTGCATACTAAATAAGAAGAACGTTTTTAATATTTAAAAACTATACAATATTTTTAGATATGTCGTAATTTATCCTTACCTGCTTAAAAGCAATGTTAATATCTTTACTGAGTTCCATATCTTTGAACATTCCTTCCAATTTACTAGTAAAACCACCTCCACATTCTTGTTTTAATTTCGACAACATAGACTTCTCAGCATCAACAGAAGCTGATTTACCCACTAACAAACGTTTTGCCAAATCTTTCTTATAAAATGCTTCGAATACATCTTTTCCGTGTATAAATCTAAACAGTACCATAATTTTATCTAATAATCTTTCTAATTCTTCCTCAGTTGCTTCTTTATTACCCGCTCGCAATTTGCAATCAACAAACTTTGCTGTAATTAAAAATTACGTATGAAATCATTTTTGTAAAAAGTAATGGTGATATTAACCACGTAAATGCGCAATAACATTACCTATTAATTCAGCTGGTTTATTTGCGCGCTGATTAATAAAAGCTTCAAAAGCTTCTTTTAAACT